CCCAACACCATTTGCTGAAGAGACTGTCTTTACTCCATTATATGTTCTTGCCTCCTTTGTCAAAGATTAATTGAGCAAAAGTCTGTGGGTTTATTTCTGGGCTCTCTATTCTGTTCCATTGGTCCAATATGTCTGTTTTTGTACCATTACCATGCTGTTTTGATTATGATAGCTCTGTAGTATTTTCTGGAGTCTGGGAAGGTTATTCCTCCAGCTTCATTCTTTTTCTTCAGTATGGCTTTCGCTATTCTGGATCTTTTGTGATTCCATATAAATTTTAGGATTACTTGTTCTAATTCTGTGAAAAATGTCCTGGGTAATTTGATAAGGATCACATTAAATCTGTAGATTGTTTTGGGTAGTATGGCCATTTTAATAAAATTAATTTTTCCAATCCAAGAACATGGGATATCTTTCCATTTCTTTAAGTCATCTTTAATTTCCTTAGTCATTGTTTTGTAGTTCTCAGTGTATAAGTCTTTCACTTCCTTGGTCAGATTTATTCCTAAGTATTTTATTTTTTTGGATTTTTTTTAGAAGGATTGTTTCTTTACTTTCCTTTTCTGATATTTCATTGTTAGTGTAAAGAAATGCAACTGATTTCTATATGTTAAACTTGTATCCTGCTGCCTTGCTGAATTCTTTCATCAGGTCTAGTAGTTCTTGTGTGGACTAAAGGTTTAATTTTGTAAACTAGTATTTGCTGAACACTCTTTCTTTGCCTCAGGAAAACAGAGATGCCTCAGATGAGATATCTGCCCCTTAGTACCTTAGATTCTTGTGATGAACACACACACAACAGATCTCTTTGATGAAATTTATCATGCAAATTGTCAAGAGGCAAGTGAGCATCTTGGAGGAAAAATACTGAGAAGTGTCTTGGGGGCTAAGGAGAAGTGAGTGTTGGAAGGGCAGTCTGGGCAGAGAAAACAGCATGGGCAAAGGCTCAGAGTATGAAATATCATGGTGTGTGCTGGGAGCCCTTCAAGTAATTCAGCATGGATAGGAATACAAAATTCAAGCGAGTTGAGAGGCATCTGGGGAATGAGAAGGGAATGTGTGATTCTGGCCTCCCACATTCTATGCTGGGGAAATGAAAAACAGATGGGAAATATGCTCCCAAACATGGCCCAAGCATGGCTCTCAGAGAAGAGGAAGAGAACCTTGTTCTGGTTTGAGGAGCCCACAGAGCCCTCACTTCCAATCTTTGGGCTATGGCCCACTTCCTTCCGTGATCTTCACCCAAGGCCAAGGGCAGGAATTCTAGCTTACATCCTTTTTCTGCACAAGTACAGCAACTGGAATGAAACAGAGTGCCCCCCTCTACCAGTCTGGGCTGCCATATGGGACATTCCAGCTCCTGTCTGGCATAGAAATTATCTAGAAGTCCTCCCAGAGCCCAGTGAAGAATGCAGAAGATAGTAGATGGTGCTGTTGGCAAGCTCAGCAGAGAGTAACCAAAGTGAGGGCTGTAAGGCAGGCCACCTAAGCTGGGACCCAAGTGGAAACCCCAGTCATACTTCAACCCAGAGAGCTGAGATGAGGCAAATTAAGTAGAAGGACTCCAGGCCCAACAAGCTGAGAAACAGCAGACTTGGAGTATTCTAGCCACAGATGTCTGCAGAAGGTACTAGTAGAGTGAGGAGTGACCAGGAACACAGGGAAATCACCCTTCAAAGACCGTGAAGATCCAAGGAGAAGCATAGGAGCTGAGTTTCCACCTGCCCGCCTTCACAGTGTTGCAATAAGCAAACCCTTGTTACTTCCAGGCAATCTGGAGAAGATAGGAGGGGATACTGAGACATCAACGTAAGTTTCCTTGTTACTCAGCAGGATGGGGCTCATAAAGAAGATTAGGTAATTTATAGAAAACTGAGAAAGCCACATTTTCTTTGAATAAATGAGTATATTGTGTGTAAATAATCAAACCCTCTATATGTGGTTTATGAACATGCCAACCAGGTTTTGAATGAAACAAGTCTATTTTAATTTGGAATGACAAGGATTCAGTGTTGGTTGGTGACTTCCAAATCATGGCCATACTCTGTATCAGTGCTAAAATATTTCTTACTGAGGAAGAGATGAGCTTTTTTTTACCTGTCTGCAGGTCCAAAGACGTGACAACCCTGGTACATCCCCGTTAAAGGAGACATGGCCATTATAAGAGGACTGGGGTAGCCTTTGGGTCTGTGAACTGGTTTCTCCCAGGACGACCTGCTTTTGTAGTATTCTATCTTGTAATTGAAAGGGGAGGAGGGAGAGAGAATGGTGTGGGAGTAAGAAGAAAGCAGTATCCATTATGGGCAGGGCTTCAAGTTTGGTGACTTATGAGTCACAGATGGCGATATTTTTAGGTATTTTTGTAACATTAAAAGGGAGATTTTCATCCCCCACGGGGATGTATGTGCAGGGCTGTACTCATCTGACATTTACTCTTACCTACGTGGATGTACTGGAAGAAGTGGGCTGGTCCCAACACTTAATAGTTTTCTTTTTTATACTCTATAAGTTAAATGTGCCCACTTTTCCTTGTTTCAGTGGGGGACAATGTATGCATCGGGGAAGCAGCAGGGGCAGAAGAGAGACAAAGAACTAGCCCAACAGAGACCATCCAAATAGCTTGTTTTTCTAGTTTACATCTTCCCTAGGGCAAGGCATAGTTACGGGTCTATTTTTTTAAAGGCCCTCAGCTTAAGTCCTATGTCTGGTAGAATAAAAGGAGATGATGACAATGTTTAGCAATTAATTAAATTAGTAAAGTAAGTGCTTAGGTGAATAAAAAAAGTTAGTGTGACTCTAGAGGAACTACTGAGTAGAAAACCTCCACAGATATTCAAGTTAATATATTTTCACATAATAAGCCCACTGAGGTCTCATGTAACACATTTGTTCAAGTAAAATGTTTTTAAGCACTACAAGTTGAATAAGAAACAAACCTAACAACAAGGTCCTACTGTTTAACATGGGGAAATATAGTCAATAGCTTGTAATAACCTATAATGAAAAAAATATATATAACTGAATCACCATGCTGTACACCAGAAACTAACACAACATTCCAAATCAACTACACTTCAATAAAAAAGAAAAAAAGGTGGGGGCAGATTTTCTTAGTGAAGTTGGCTGTGTTAACAAACCCCCCCCAAATCTCAGTGACTTGTTACAACAGTAGTTTTTTTTTTTTCCCCTCATGCTCTCTGGAGGCTGAAGTGGGCCATGGTTTTCACCAGGCCCTGTGAGTAAGAAAAACTCACTCCTCCTCCTGTATGTCTCCCACTTACCTTCACACCACAACCATACTCACAACACTTTTGACACCAGATGTGGGAGGTGGGCGTGTTCCCACACCAAGCAATTCTGCGACACCAGCTAGATATCCTATAATTCAACTCAATTCAGACACTATCTTCCTGGAAATAGTGTCAGATCCTATGGGTTAAGGGCTCAGTCCCACAAGAAACCCCCCCCCACCACGTAAGATGCCAATCAAAAGTCCAGGTTGTCACTTGTGCTGCTGACCAATTATCCGTAGATCAAGTATTCCTACCATCCCCCTTTTGGGATTGATTAATTTGCTAGAGCAACTCACAGAACTCAGGAAAACAGTTCCCTAACTTTATCAGTTTATTATTAAAGGATATGATAACAGAGGGAACATCCAAAAAGAAAAGATGCCTAGGGCAAGATCTGGGGAAGGGGCTTGGAGTTTGTATGCCCTCTCTGGGTGCAACTCTTCCAGCACCTCCATGTGTTCACCAACTCAGAAGCTCTCTAAACCCTGTATTTTGGGGATATTTCTGGAGGCTTCCTCACATAGACATGATGCATCACTAACTCCATTCTCAGCCTCTCTCCCTTCTCCAGAGAATGGGAGGAGGCGTTGAAAATTCCAAGCTTCCAGTCATGGCTTGGTCTTTCTGGTGACCAGCCACTCAACCAAGAGTCACCTCATTAGAACAAAAAACACTACTATCACCCAGGAAATTCCAAGGGATTTAGGATCTCGGTGTCAGGAACCTAGCTAGGTCAAAGATCAAATATTAGAACAAAAGATTCTCCTAGTGCTTTTATCTCTTAGGGAATTACAAGGGTTCTAGGAGTTCTGGGCTAGGAAGGGGAGCAAAGAAAATATATATTTTCTATTATCTCATACCTTGGGCTTTGCTCTTTCTTCTCATTTCAGGACCCATGTTGAAAGAGCAGCTTTTACTTGGGACATGTCTGGGAAAGATCAAGAGAACTGGCCAAAACTCAAGAAGAATCATAAACCTCTGCTTCAGCATGGTGAGTGCCATATTTATTCACATTTCTTTGGCCTAAGCATGTCATGGGCAAAATAGAGGGAGTGCAGGAGGGTCCCTGAGAAGGCAGATCAGAAAAGAGGTCAGCTCCTGTACTTTGAATTTGTTCCTGGAAAAGAGAGTTTTTAGACGGGACCCCCACAGAGCTGTTTTACTCTTCCGAGTCTGCTTGGGGTTCTTTTGATGTAGTTACTCCACAAAATCTCACATCTCCTTAATTTAAGATTCAACTTCAGCTAAGGGCCCTAAAGAAACAAGGCCTCTTTTGAAAGAACAGAAGAGACCAGAAGCTTCTGGGTTCAACAGGCCACTGTTTAAACTGACAACCTGCTCTCCAACCTGAGGGATGATAAAACTTTACAGGCTGGGAGAGAATTCCGCTTCAAGAATGTCTGCTTCTGAAAGCTCACTCTGATTGCCCTCATCCCCATTAACAAAAACAGATGTGAGCTCATGAGTAAAGTAAACGTTCAAGGTCAATATACATTCCTCTCCACCAATCTAGTTTGGCACTTCAATATGAGAAAATAGGCTATGAAGCAGAGTGGAACTTTTCTATAACACTGGTTTTGAGTGACAGGACTCACATCTGTGTATTAAGTTAACTGTTATATTAAATATCTACAGAACAGACTTTCTCTGTTTCATGGGGAATGATCTGAGCTGTAGTAAATCTACTGACATGGAATAGTTATTCTCTATGAGAGAAACAAGAGAATATATTTAAGAGCCTGAGTTTGAATCCTGGTTCTAGTGCTTACTATCTGCATAAACTTGGGCAAGTCATTTGACTTCAGTTTGTCTCTAAAATGGGTGTTTTAATAGTATGTATTTCCTACCTTGTCAGCACCAAGCATATAAAACTGAGCTCATTCTAGGATTACTCCATGGCACTAGAGGAAGTCGTATTCAAGAAGGCTAGATACCTAAACTTGTCTGCATTCATTTTTCCATCAAATATTTCAGTCCCTACAATATACCGGGTAGAGATATGGCATGAATGTTGAAAGACACACCTGAAAGTCATCATGGAGCTTATGGTCTCCTGATTCGTCTGCAACCCTCCCTAGACGTAACCCCCCTATTATCACTCAGCACCATGAGCATGGTGTTTCTCAGAGTTATTTGAACCTAAGAGTCACCTGGCACTCTTGTGAAAAGACAGATTCTAAGACCTCATCTCATCCTACTGAATATCACAGGGGGATTCTGACTTCCTTTACCTCATTGGCAAAATAGGGAGCAGAGAAACCCCTACCATAGTCTTACTGTGTGTTCCAAGAGAAAGGATATGGGAAAGGTCTTTGGAAACCATGAAGTTTCTTTCCAGTGTGTGGCATCCAGCCTCTCTCTGGAGGTTCAGAGAAGCCAGCCAAATGCCACTCAGAGCCTGTAGTCTGTCCTAGTGTCCTTCCACCCCACCTCGTCTTTCTGGACTTTCTGGAGACATGAATCAGAAGCCACCCACCCCCGTTTTAACTTAATGAGCCAGTGGGTCTTAGACTGGAACCAGCCTCAGGTCCACCAGCAAGGTGGATACCCGCATTGCATTTTGAGAGTACCTGTTACAAAGCTTCAGAGGGCCAGTCAATGGCCATCCGTAACTGGTGGTTTCCAAGGAACAGCCCTGAAATGGGAAATGAATCCAGAGATTAGGGTGGTGAGCTGTAGGATCTTGTTAAGTTTTCATCACCCAGCCTCTGCCCACCTCTCCAACTTCATCTCCCACTCCTCCACCCAGCCAGTAGCCCTTGACTACCTCCAGAATAATAACTACATTTCCCAGCTTTCTTGCTGATATGATCAATGGATGTAAGCAGAAATGTCATATGGCTGCAGGAACAGTCCACAGTAAACAACTGGCGTATGTTTTATTCCTTTTCTATCCTGTGCCTTCCTCCATCCTGCTTCTTGGAAAGCAGATGTAACAACTGAAGCTCTAGCATGTATTTTAGATTTGGGGAATGACTATAAATTAGGTGTACTGGAAGAGAGAAGCAGTCCTGAGCACCATATGGAGCCAAGCCTCTGGTTTAGTATTGAACTATCAACCTCTGCACTTTTACATAAAAGAGAAAAAAAGCTTTTATCTAGTTTAAGCCAGTGTTATTTTAAGTTTCTACTTCTCACCTCCAAAATGAGTCTTAAACTGATTCAGTGCTCAGAAGAATGGATTCTGGAAACAGACTGCCTAGGCTCAGTCAGTTATTAGCTCATAGACACAGGTAATTTGCTTCACTTCTTTGCCTCAGTTATAAAACGTGAATGCTAAAGACAGCATCTGCCTTCGAGGATTGTTGTTAGGAATGAGCTAATATACGTGAAGCTTAAAACATGTGAGGCCTGGCACATAGTAAATACCCAGAATAAAAGTGTGCCCCAAAGGAGCCAGACTGAAGGTTATTCTCTCAAATCAGAGGTAGGCATTGTAAGTGCTGCAGCGCTAGCAATAGTGCTAATAATTATATCTTTTAAATTTTTATGGAATCTTTTCAACAGTTATACTTGAACTATGTATTATGTATGTATGAGTTATGTATTCTTACTTGCATTCCACAGAGAAGAAAATGCAAGCTTAGGGAGGTTAAGTTAACATGCCCCAAATCACATAGCTAGTAAGGCGCTGTGATAGGAATCACACCCAGGTCTTTTACTTCCAAATTCCCTACATTTTCTGAAAAATTACACATGCTCTTGAATGCAAGTTGTTGTACTGCTATGAACTCTCTTTTTTTAGATGCCCAGTGCACATACATTTTGGGGGAAAGGGATTCCCAGGCTAGATTTTTCTATTTGTAAAGAATCAAAAAGGATGCCCAAATTCCCCATGTAAGGAATTTTGTTTTCTGGTCACTGACAACTTAAATGTGAATAAGCTGTGTATTTGATCCCATAAAATGCTAGCTCTAGAATATACTTTGAAAAAAAGGGACTTGATCAGGGCTCAGCTCAGGAATAGAGGTGGAAGAATAGCCTTGATCCATCCTGATTGCAGTCTGGATAACAGGGGCTGATTCTGAGTGACATTTTGGGCTCATCCTAAAAAGGGCCCAGAGTTAAACATCTACGGTGGGAGCGAGGCTTCATAATAGCGCATGTGTTTTGCATTGGCAATTCTTTGAACAGAAGCAGTTTGGAATCAGGACTGGGAAGCTGCTGCTCACTAGAATGTTGTAGCCATTTTCCATGTTCCTTGAGGGCAGAGCAGGTGGTTCCCACTGCATCTGGGGGGATTTAAGTTAGATGCTGGGAAGAACTTGCTCACTCTAATTAATGATTGTGAAAGGCAGACGCAAATGTGGTTATACGTGCAAAGAAAGTATAGGAAAAAAATTGTTCACACATCCTTTCATCCTTTACTCATTAATCTTTTCCTGTTCTGTGACTCTGGTTCAGACTTCCTAGAATTCTAAGGCACTGAAAACATTCTGAAGAGCTTCAACTGCTTAATTTCTAGCTTCCTAGCTCTTCCCAGCCTTACTCTGTGAGAAAGGTGACTGGTAGAGATGGATCAGAAATCAGGCAAATGATTTCAGCTTTGCCTGCTGGCCCAGCAGCTCCCTCCACCTTCCATTTTCTCCACTGTCCTCATCAGTACAAGAATGGGGTTGTCAAAAACAAGATGCTCCACCCAGTGTACAGAATCAGGGAGGGATGTAGCCATTGCTTGTGCACCTTGCTGCCTGCAGAAATGAGTGCCTGAAACCTAAGGGCTTGGGACTGGAGTCCAGCCCGAGGGAATAGGAAGAAGCTCGGCAGGGGCCAGGGTGACATACCTCCCTGCGTGGCCTGGCCACTCAGGTTCCCTTGTGCACACAAAGAAAGGATGAGATTAGGTGGGGGCTGAAGACTCTCCAAATTCAAAGTTCCTTGGAGACAGAATATAGAGGATTTCTATCAGTGGAAAGTGATTTCTCTGTCCTCTATCACTTTTTGTGCGCTATACTCCTGAATCTTGTTTGCACTTTCTCTTAAAGACAAAATTGTTTAAGTCTAGGTAAATCTCCTCTCCTAAATGGGAGGCTCTGTGTAGGGACAGCATGGGAGGGAGGGGGTAGTTAACAGTGAGGGAGGATGTTGTGAAAAATGACAACATCAACTTAGAACCAGTCACTCTAATCTCATGCGTTTGACTTAGATAGGGAGGCCTGCCTGTTTTATTCTATTTCACAAGAAAATGACAAAGAGGGGATAAGTCAGAAAAAGTTAAAAGTTGTGTATATCCCTTTGCCTCCAAGCATCTTGTAGCCTGCCACATCATTAAAAAGTCCCACTGTGTAAGTCTTACAAAGTTTAGAGGAAGAAAATTAATTTAAAAGAATTTTTTATATCCTAATGAAGTTTGTTTTTTTCTTGACCTGTACAAAATTTTTTTTTCCACTTTAAAATGAGAACATTGATGAAGGGAAGAATTTCTTTTTCAACTCACAGTCTCTACATTTAGTCCAATAAGAACTTCCACTGTAAAATGTAGTTGCCTGAAGTGAATAGAGTTAACAACAAGCAGTTGAAGAGTTGCTTCCTATGATTTTCTGTCCATAAAGGTAAAGAACAAACGTACAGTGCTATCTATCCTGATTCAATCTCAATTTTTTCCTCCAAAGGAGAGAGAGAAACCTAAAAGAGAGAGGAGTCGGCTCTCAGTAGCTTTCCATTCAGCTGGGAAAGGAACAGCTCTGGTTGCTACAACTTCCGTTGCTCTTTCTTGCTGTATGCAGAGGGGTGGCAGTTCCTGCAGTCCACTATTGCCCCCTGTTGTCCGTTTCAGGAAACTCACAGGGCAGCATGAACGGCTAAACCTGGGTAAGTCATCTTGACACCCTCTAAACTTTTCTGACCAATTTCAGAAATTTGAAACTGTGATTCCACCTTATAATTCACTGAGGGGCAGTTTATAGTCAAGTTACATCGTTATTTCTGAAACTTAGAGAATGTTAGGATCTTTGGAAAATATTTAGCCAATTGGTTTTTCTACCTAAGTGT